CCCTCCCTCCCTCCCTCCCTCCCTCCCTCCCTCCCTCCCTACCAAGCGCTTTCCGCGTCGCCTCCTCCAGACGCCCCTCGTCCGCCAATGCCCGTATCAGCACCACCGCCGTGTTCTCGTCCTCCTCGAAATGGTTCCGAAGCTCCTCGTACACCTGCCACGTCACCTGGGCCAGAGAAAGGAGGGTACACGCGACTTAAAAAAAAGGAATGAAGCGCAGGATGTCTCGACGCCCGCGGTCGCGACAAGGGGCCCCGCCTCGCCGGCGACCCCCAGCCTGCTTCGAGAGTGGCGCCTGCAATAGAGCCGGGCGGGCTCCCGGTCCACAGGGAGTGGTCGAGTCGGGGGGAAAGGCGGCTTGCACCCACGATCAAGCGTTTGCCGCGATCCACGACTCAGGCCCAAGCACACGACAAAGCCAGCCAGGGAGGAAGCGCAGACTCGCCACCAGCCGGGTCGTGGGTGGGCGAGCGTCCAGGGGGTTGACGTCCATCTTCCCTCCCTCCCTCCATCTTCCCTCCCTCCCTGCTTCCCTCCCCCCTTACCTTGGCACCCCCTGCTTCCTGGCACACGTACAGCAACGTGTTGCATTCCTCCCGGCTCAAACGCCGCCCACGTGCCTTCATTTCCTGTTGAGTGCCACGTGCACGGTCGCTCGTGAGGTCGGCCTTCCTTGGGACCCTCCCTCCCTCCCTCCCTCCCCTCCCCTCCCTTCCTTCCTCCCTCCTTCCCTTTTCCTACCTGGAACGTGTCCAATGCACGCGTCAAATTGAGCACCTTGGCGGAGAGAAAGAGAGACTTTCGGAGGTCGCCCGTCTTCATGGCCTGGAGGGGCTGCGTCTTCAACGCGGAGAAAGAAAGAGAAGCGAAGCAGGAAGGGAGAGAGGGGAGGAGGGCGGGGGGAAACGGAAGGGGGGAATGAAGGGGGGGTGGAGCGATCACAGGAGCCCATGGAGCATCGTCCTGAAGAGTTTTGGAAGAGTGAACGCTCATGGAATGAAAACACTCTCAGGGTTTCCATCAATCAAAGAGAGCGCGTGAAGTCCGATAGCCGCATGGACCCTGGTAGACAGCTGAGCAACTTACCAAGGCCGCAAATTTGTCTTTTCTGGGCGGCACCGGCGCAGGAGACGTCGCCGAGGTTGTCGTCCTTCTCGGCAAGACATTTGAGGGCTGATGAAATACGACGGGTGAACGTGTGATGGGGATGGACGTGGGTACTGGAGGGAGAAGGCCCCACGACCGCCAGGCAGGGAGGAAAAAAGCTTGCCCCGGCACCAAGTGCAATGCCATCAAGAAGCACCGGCAAGCCGCCAATGATGCACTTCGCTTTTTATGGCCACGCCCTTCTCTTCTGCCCAACATTGTGTTCTGTCGCGCCGGGCCCTATTTTTGCTGCGTGCAATCAGTTGCTGGTCCTCATCTAGGTTGATATTGCAGTAGGAATGGATAATTAGAAATGCACATCTCATTAGCTAGAGACAAAGTGGCGGAAAATTCTGCCATCATGGAATGTTAGGACGAAGCACGCCTCTACCGTATTTCAATCTCCCCTCGCACCAAGTGCGGGATCTGTGTTGAAGGGAGGAAAGACGTACAAGACGTGGAGGCAACCGACCTGGGGGGGATGAAAGGTTCCATATGGACACTCATTAACGACATGAAAGGCCGAATGTACATATTCCATCAAGTATTCATCTTTCGCAGGCAAATTGCGACCCTTTTACGTCCACAGACTTCACTTTTTACCCGAAACTGAAGTTGCCTCCCGACGGAGGGCGATGGCTTTCCTGACTTGCCGTCATCCAGGAGATCTCCGAAAACGTGATTCCTTCGATTGCCTTTCGAGCGCACATCTTGGGGTCGGAGGTTAAACTTGATTGAAATTTTCCGAGACCGACTTCATACTCTACTCAGGAGAATTTACAAGAATCGTGGAATTTTATGAGAGCTGTCCAGACATTGCCTTTAGCCAGGGGATCCTCCGGGTATCCAAGTGACCCACCCCACGAAAGCTTTTTGAAACCAAGGAGAGTACGACAGAACGATCAGAAATGAAATGACGAGGATGATCTGTCGAGGTAAAAGAGTAAAGTCCACAGTGTAAGTCGCGACAGGTACGCCTCCTCCGAAATGTTATCATCTCATTCTCAAATCCGTAGCGCCATTTTCTACGCAAATATTGCATACAATGCATCAATCCAATAGTTGAAGGCCAGGGAAATGTAGTATTCCTGCGACATTCACACAAACGAAGTTTGGAGAAGGCTTGAAGTACTCACGAAGCAACTTTCCTAAAAACCTGAACACAGTAACTTTCATCTCTAGAAGAAACAAAGAAACAACAACATTGCAATTAAACAAGCACTTTTGGTTTTCAATTTCGCAATCAATTATAACCAAAAGTCCATTCCAAGATGTACAAGGACATTGCCTTCGCTTGTGTCTCCTTGCCCTAACTTCCTCGACCCTACAGTCGAGTCTTTGCTCCTTTTTTGTCTTTTGCATCATTTCCTGAATTTAATGGACGCCTCTGATATGTACCTAAATTCGTCCTTGAAGCTCCTGTGAATGTTTGTAACATCCCAGCGCTGTCCCTGCATCTGATACTCTTTTGCTTCTCTAGTTCCGACGTGACATCTTATCATGACACCGCTGGTGTACCATATCGTGACTCGATTACAGGACGAACATCTGCTGCCTGCTGACCTCAATGAAGGGAATATCCACGACCTCGCACGTGATATGCAGGCGTCGTTTACAGGAGTTTGTCTCTCGTTCCCTCTTCCTACGCTCCCTTTCTGCAATTCTTACTAGACAAGGGCGGCCTCAAACAGCGTATTTTGAAGCCACGCTAGCCTTGTACCGCTGCTTCACCCGCCAGTGCTCCCAGCTCGCCCTCCCTCCCTCCCTCCACTCCTTCCTCCATCCTGTGGGGGATCCAGGTGGGGAAAAGCGAGAGGAAGAAGGACGCAGACAAGACAAAAGCCTCCAACCACCACCGATGTTCCCCCCCCGGCAAAGCGCCCGTGTAGCACATCTCCTTGGTGATCGCCCAGAAATCTTTCCCGGTGCCACCCTCCCTTTGCCCCTCCCTCCCTCCTGCCCCTGCCTCCTGCTCTGGACCGTCCGCAGGAGCCCCTTCCTCTCCCTCCCTCCCTCCCTCCCTCCCTCCTCGCCCTGCTGGCCGCCGAAAGGCAGGACCCAAGAGCAAGGCCAGGATACCCGTCTGCTCGGAAAGGATGGGTGGTAGAAGAATTCGATGAGGGGAGAAAGAAGGATGCGACGGACGGCGAGGCCCGGGGCAAAGGCACACCGGACATGACTCCTGGCAGGCCGCGTGCTCCACATCAAGCAGCTCATGCGTCCGCGCCACTCACGTTTGAAAACCCAACAATGAGACAAAAGGGACCATGTGCTGGGCAACCTTTTCCAAGGTTAATTTTCCTTCCTTCCGGCATCCCTCCCCTTACCTGATACAGATAAGCCAGGGCCGCCACCACGCAGAGGGTGGCCAGGCGTTGGGGCTTTCCCGGATTGAGCAAAAAGACGAGCATGACCATTTTCGCCGCCAACTGCCAGTCGCAAAGGGCCAAGACTGCCCTGCCCAGCTAAGGGAGGGAGGGAGGGAGGGGGAGAAGGAGAGAGGACGGGAGGAAAGAAGGGGGCAGAGGAGAAGAATCAGGAGGGGAGGGCCAGGCGGACCTACTGTCCAGGAACAACATTCATCAAAGGCACAAGCACCGATGCCAATCACATCGACCCACCTCGAGAAGCTGCGGCCTTGGCTCCTGATACCAGGGGCCCGCGTGAAGAGCCTGTGGCCCTCCAGCGGGACGCGGCGGGGCTACTTGCTCCGCTTGTCCGACATGCTCGCGCCCCGCCGGCATCGGCGCCACCCCGGCTGCCTGAGCGTGCTGCCGCTCTGCGTGGTCCTCCACGAAGGCATTCCACGTACCCGGAGGTGGGGCCCCCGTGAACCTCCTTTCTCCGTCTTCTGCCCCTCCCACCCTCCCTCCCTCCACCATCTGCTGGGCGTACCAGTGGTGCAACTGCTGCAAGGCACAGTGATACTGGTAGCTCAGGATGTATTGCTGCTGCTGGTAAAAAAACAATTGCTGGAGCTGGTGCTGGGCCAGCCAGGCCTTCTCCTGCTCCCTTGTTTCCCCGGGCGCGGGCACGAAACCACCGTCCACCGAGGGAGGGACGGAGGCAGGGGGGAGAGCAAGCTTCCCTCACCAGAAGGAATGTTGATGCTTCCTCCCCGAATGGCGCGTGGTGAGTCCACGACATCTCTCTCCACGGAGGACGGGACAGAGGTCGCGGCCGAGGAAGGGGCTTCTCGCTCCCATTCCCTCTCCCCTCCCTCCCGCCTCGATCGTCCATTTTCCTCCACAATCATCCCGTGGGACAGCCCCCCGCCCGTTCCGCCGTGCCCCCCCCCTCCCTCCCGCCCTCGTCCGCTCCCTCCTGTGACTCCGGGGTGGATGGGGATGGGCGAGGAGGTCGTGGGTCGGGGGAAAATCACGGTCGGCGTGGCGCTGCTACTGGTGCTGCCGACGGGCTCCCCTGCCCTCCCCCCCTCCCTCAGCGTGCGTCCTGGAGTTCCCGCGGGCAAGGCAGGCGACGTCGGTGCCACAGAGGTCGAGACGGAGGCAGGAACGGAGGGAACGGGTGAGGTGATCCCCGTCACAACCAGATGAAAGGTCTTGGGGGTGCTCAAGTCCAGAGTCTGGACCAACACAGAGGCAGGCAAGCAGGGGCGAGGGTGGGGGGGGGAGGAAAAGGGAGAACAATGAGACAAAGCAGCGAGGCCGACCCCACATGGTGATGCGACAGCGTACCCAGCTCTCTCTTGTACTGTCATGCCCGCGCCTTCCTAGTAGGTCTTCTCTCCTTCCCTTCCACGCTCTCTCGCCCCGGCCACCAGGATTCTCGAATTTTCCAACCCTTCCTCCCGCCCCCCTTCCCCACCCCTCTTCCCTCACCTCGTGGTCGTTTCCTGTTCCTCCCGTCAAGATCCCCACCAAGGGGGCAGTCTCGTCCACGCAGACTTTACCCAAATATATCAACCGTTGTCGATGAGGAGCGGGCTTTTCCTCCAAAGCTGCCTCCACGCGTTTCTTCACCGCGTGCACCGTGGACCCTTCCAAGGGCAGGGTAAATTCGAGAGTAATGGACCGGTACACGTGTCTGACCAGCACATGTACCAGGGACTCCCCTGAGTCGGTCATACTCATTGCCTTCCCGAGTCCTTCCCCAGCCTGTCCGGGATGGGGTGGGTGGAGGCGTGGGAAAGTGTTGAGAAACACGTGGCGCTCCAATAACTACTGAGACAGTGTACATAAGATGGGAAGTGGGGCCCTAAAACCCAGTCCATGCGCAGAATTTGCCGGTGTTTTGTCAGTTGCCCAAAACACAAAGAGGTGACGTCCAGGAGCAGGAGCCTCCATCACAACGCGCGTCTTGAACAACAACACATCAGCTTCCATTCAGCCTGCCCACTGGCTTTGCATTCGCTCCCAAAACGAAACTTTGCACCGTTCCTTTCTATGCACTTGACCGGAAACAGTAACATTCAGACAACGTGTGCACAGCCTAAGCCTGCTTACGCAACGACCCCCTACAACTTCAGCCACCGGGCTGGACAAGCCACCGCGGACACACCCCAAACCACGGTCAGGTCCGTATTTTCTCTGAAATGATAGAGTATAAGCAGTTTGGCACTGCCAAGTGTTCATATCTCTGCAGCGGGGTTGCTTTTTTTACCCCAGGGTTGCTCATCCCGTTCCCCGACTCGCATGAAAGGACACATCACGCACCCACCAACTCGCGCACACGCGGCAGACCCATGCTCTGCACCTCCACAGGTGCACAAGGTGGAGTCCTCGCGAATGGTCACCCACAGCACCGTGCACGGCGGTGAATTACGACGAGGGGGAAGCCCCAAATCTAAACCCGGGCACCCCCGGAGACGTAACAGCAACAGTGGAGAAAACAAAGCAACGATCTGCTCGCTTTTAACTATACCCGACAACATGGCTGGTTGCACGCAAGCCCGTCATCCCCACGACGTGCACGGGGTTAGAAAGCTCCTTGATACGCATTGCAGGGACGTCAGGCGTCGTCCGGTCTATTAAAATGGGAGTTTTATAATGTCCAGTCCCAAGGGCAGTCTGGCGTCTCTCTGAGCACGGAGTGGCCCATTTTCGCTTTCCCAGCCCCAAGATAGGTTTAGAACGGACGGAAGAAAACCTTAGGAAAAATCCTGTAGATCTCGAAAACATTTGGATATTTCACCATTGCAACTGTATATTTTGTACAATTGACCCGAAAATGTCCTCTTTCTCTGCCTCACCCTATTTTGCAGGGCCGTCCTCTGATTCTGATGAGGACTAATCGGCCCATCACTCTCCTGCTGTAGCCTCTTACAATGTTAACGTCAGCCTGCAAAATAAAAATCGAAGAGCCTTATACATTGTACCATAGATAGAACTTTTTCTGATGGATACCATGCCATTCTATTCATGGCTACCAGCAAACCTCTATACCGTCCGGACATGAACACGGAAATAGCTAGTAGCGACGTCCTCTTCCATGTGGACATAGCAGCGACTGCTAATCAGCCGGAGCCTGACCTTTTCAATGCGCTTTCTAGGTTGCTCCAGGAGACAAGCATCATTGAAGTCGCGTACAGTTTCCAGGAGCAGGTATTTGACACTCACTTTTTCCCTTGCTCCACCCTTTTTCTCCTTGAGTCCTTGTCAAGTTCTTTTTTCCATGCACGGTTTGCGCGGCCACCAATGCCATGTATCATCCTCCATACTATCACAGACGGCGTACCTAGCAACGCTGTATACCATGTTGGTATTGGGTATCGTACTTTTTCTCCTACGATACGCAAATCGCAGCCTTTTTCGTTGGCACACGTGGGTAAATATCTTTGTCTCCTACTACTGTGCCATCGGTATTCTCGTCCTCATCCCGCTCGACCTGGCCGTGACCAAACTCCAACGGGAGGCAAGGACGGTGGAGTCCTATGATCTCCTGTCTATCTATTCAAACAGCCTCTTTTTCCTCTATGGATGCTTGTTTTGGCCGGCCCAGGTGGTCGCGGGCGTGCTCCTGTATTTCTTCGAGGAGTACAACGAAAGCGGGTACTTCACGGTTACCAATCGTATACTCGACGCCCTTAGAAACATCGGACGCTTTTTGCTCCTTTGTTTGCTTGTGGGTGGCGTGGGGTTCGGGATTTTGCTGGGAAGAGGCTACGTCTCGGATGAGAAGGCTCTCTTGGTCACGGTTGTAACCGTCAACAACACGTACGGCTTGATTGCCATCATGTCCACCCTCCACGCTCATCGTCCTCAACCTCTTGTCCCTCGCCTTCATTGCCTACGTCATCCTCTTCGCCCTTTCTCAACTCCGCGTGGCCGACGTAATGGAAATCGCGCCAGGCCGAAAGACCAGTCCCAAGTCCCTCTCCTGCCATGCTCGGCTCTCCTGCAAGCTAGCCCCTCCTTTGGCGTATAATTTCCTCACCTTGTGCTTTGAAAGCGGGGTGGAAAAAGGGATCTGGATGCAGAGTTCCTTGACGGGCGAAGTTGTCATGACAGCCTTCGGTCGGTTTTATGGCTCCATGGATATCATTCCCTTCGTGGGCAACAATTTCAATCGGATCGTTCCCCTTTTTGTCCTCTTCTTTGCCGGCCTCCAATTTTTCAACGTTTTCAACCGACATTTGAGTCTTTAGCACCTGAGTGGGCTCTTGTTTGGAGATCCACCGGTGAGTGACGGAGACATGCAAGCAGGTCTGATTAAATTGCGGAAACACCGTGAGCAGATGCACGCCCGGGTGGCTCGTGAGGCCCGAATGCCGCCCAAGCGTCAACCAGGAGCACACCGGGCAGGAAAAGTGACTCCAACCCCTTATGGGGGGAAAGGGGAAGCGAAGGAGGGCGGGCCGAAGGGAGGGAGGAGGAAAGGGCAGGGCGAGGTGGGACGGTGGGATGGCTCCCAAGGGCCTCCGACGGAAAGGGAGGGTTGGATGCACATAAGGACGGACCAAGCCTGGCGCCCTGGCTATTTCGTGCTCGGTAAGAGGGGTAGTGGCGCGTGGCTAGTGGAGTATCCCACGCAGGAGCGGTCGAAGCAAGTGATCGCCCTGGAGGTCCGAGACGTGGTGAGGATAAGTCAACAGGTGGAAAGGGAACAGGGAAAGCGGTTAAACGCGTCTCTTTTGATCATCGAGACGGAAAGAGGGGTTTGGAAATTGCGATGTCGATCCGAAGAATCGGCGATAGAATGGCGGGAAACCCTGTCCCAGTGGAGGGAATGGACCCTCCAGCGACCCCGGTCTCCTACATCTCCGCCATGGCCTGCACCCTTGTGTAGAGACGATCCAATCTGTCCCGGGATGCCAAAGGACCGTACGGAAAGGAACGAGATCGCACGCGCGAGCCTGTTTCCCCCCGACGCGCCATCCTCTTCCAGCTGCCCCACGTCCCCCCCCTCCGCCTGTCACCTTGGTCGGCCGTTTTATCTGGCAAGCGAGGGCGATGGGAGGGCTAGCAGTCAGCGGGACGGAAAGAGGATTGAAATCTTGAGACCAACGCGTATGGAAGACCGAGTACGTGTTTCTCAGCGGCGGGAGGGCAAGCCTGCTGTTGCCTCCACTGGTGCCGTTCACTGATGAAGGACCATAGAGATCCTTCGTTTGGGATAAAATCGCGGCGAAGTTAAACGAACTTCTCAAGCTTTCGGGAACGGGAAGGCTGGCAGGTCGAGCGGACTCGTCGGGCGGCCAGAGGTAGTATGGCGGGATATGCGCGCATGCCACGGGTCTGGGAGGAGTTCAGTGCGATTCTTGGAATCGGAGGAGGGAGCGATGGGACAGGACCCTTCTGATTGCACATAGCACGCGCGCGGGGGGAAGAATGAGCCAAGGAGAAGTGGATTAGCTTTTCACTCAACGACCCACACGCCTCAAGCCCTCTTAGATGGAGCAAATATTCCCATTGCACGAGGAGACTTTTCTGAGGATACACAGAGATAAAAAGTGATGGCTTGGGGACAAGCAAATCCTCACGATATGGTGCTTCGTATGAAGTGCTTTGATAAAAAATTGCGAATGGGCCGTTCGATTGTGAATAACGAAACACTAACCATGGCTCCGAAAAATGTCCGGTAGGATTTGTATGTGTCTAGGTTCGTCCGCATTACCCATTGAAATAACCCCGCCTCCCTACTTCCAAAACATGTACTTTGATAGCAAATATTTACTGTGTGGATATTTGAATGTATTAATCGTACTCTGTTGTTGCTGATGACGAAATCAGAAGCTGTCGTCTCGCTAATTTTCTTGAAAAAAAAAGCGTAAGCATGATGGACCACCGAAGTCAGCAATCATGGGAAGGCAGGATGGTAACAACTCATGTCAGTGCCATGCGTTTTTAATTTCAACTCCGATATCCAAAAGTGAAACATTCAGGAGAATCGATGAATGAGAGAGAGGCATTAGGCAAGTTTCCATACCATATGGTTGCGCCCGAGGTCAGCGGATCCCATTTCACATGTATAACTAACTTATCATCGGTATGATAGACCCCTCCGTAAAACCTTCTTTGACAAAAAAAATTGTGTCTTACACTGTCTTGCGATGTTTACAAATTGATGCCACATGTATTTTTTCCCTCTTGCTTTATTAACAAAGGCTCTGGCACGTGTGCAGCTGCATTATGACGTTGGGCTCCCGAGGAATAACAGTTCAATGCGACCTATTTCCGCTTGTCCTGCACTGCTTTCTTATTGTCCAACCGTATGCCAGCCCTCCCCACTCGTCACGCTCCGTCCTCCTCCTTTCATCCATGGCGATCCCGTGCATGTTTAGTTTTCGAGTGTGCGTAATTTTGGTTTCCGTCCACACGTCGGGCATTGTCGGAACGTTGGGAGGCGATCAGTGCGGCGTTGGTGGGACCGTCATGATTCAAGAACTTCACGCCCCGCCGTGCATTTCGGATGTCTCCCCGCCGTGCATTTCGGATGTCTCCCCTCCACCCCAAATGTTGTTTTCGAGGGCATCAATGCTGGCGTGGGATTGCCATGAAAGGAGCTCCCACCCACCATATTGTGCTTTTCATGGGCCTGTGCCCTTGTATCCCCTCATCAGAATCACTCACTCCCTCTGAGAGACCTGCATTCACTTTGTACCGCGCATTTTAGTTCCGCCGAGCTGCGCGCTGTTTCCTTCCTCGACACCCTTCTTTTATGAGCTGACCTTTTCCTTTACAATGTCCTGGCACCCTTTTGTGGGTTTGTTGCCTCTTTTCCCACGTTTGCCACCGTGTCAGGGCAATAATCGCGAGTTAGACGCCTCCACGAACGTCGAATGGAAAAAACCCACCGAACGCCTCAGTAATGAGCAGCGACGATCCTCCTCAAGCTCCTCGTCCCACCTGTATCTCTTGTCTAAATAGCAAAGTAAAATGTGACAGAGAAAGTCCGGTACGTTCTACCTTTCTCCGTCCTGAAGGGCCACCTTCTTAAGTACTAATACCCCCCGCTGTCTGTTTCGCTCAATACTTACCTTGACCCGACGTCTTGGCGCGCACCTTCTTAAAACTGCGCTATTCGTTCCTGGCCATCATTGCAGTGCTCGAGGTAGGTGGTGAAAGCAATTACTGGGGCACCGCGGATTTAAATCTAAAAAGCCCTTGGTCGCCCTGCTGTGGGTGTCATTTATGCCCTCGTTATAGTCCTCGCATCCACATCAATTTTCTCACCACGACAACATTTCTCATGTTGTACCACAGATGCGTCCGTCTTAACCTGTCATGTGTGCCAAACCCCCGACCTCCCGGCCGCCCGGCCCGGCGTCCTTATGGGGGGCCTGCGGATCGCTTTTCTGACTCGATGAGGCTTCACAGTGGGACCAATCTTCGCCCTAAACTTCCCCTTTCTTCCCATCCGTACGCCACTGTGTCCAGCTGGAGCGCGCGGGATGGTGACGGCAACGAAGGGGAGAGCGAGGCGCCCCGGGCGCAGCTAAGCGATGAGGAATTCCGCAGTCGGTTCGTCCATGCGAATCACCACCACTTCCGACGCACTTTGGACGAGCACCACGCCTCCGTCCTCGCCTCGCTCGCGACCGTGGGGCGCAAGGCAGGACCCAAGACAAAGGAGGATGGCCGCGCAGGGGACGACGCCCTGGAGAGCATGGGTGGGAAACAACGTGTCACCCGCCTTCCCCCTTCCACCATGTCCTCCTCTCCCACCACAACCTCCTCCATCTTCTCCGCCTCCACTTTGGGCTCTGCTTCCACGAATTTAACCTCGCACGCCACCCTTGCCAGTCGCGAGCGAAAGCGGGCCCGGGAGGAGGGCGGGAGGGAGGGCGGGAGGGAGGGCGGGAGAGAGGACGTGGACTTGCCGTCGGAGTATGACCTCGAACCGTCCTACATCCTGGCCTTTGTCACCATGCTTGCGAATCGAAAGGTGCACGTGGAGCGTGCGAAGGTCATTGTGGAAGGCTGGTTGCGGTGGAACAAGCGTCTAGGACGTGATGCCTCACAGGGACTGGCCGACGTCATCCTCTTCGTGCTGGGACTGAACGCGGGAGGCAGGGGTAGGGACGGCGGGGAAGGAGGGCAGCGGGGGGGAGATAATGATCATCCAAGAAGGCCGACAACGCACGAGCCTGTCAAGGAGGGAAAAGGGCGCGAAGCTCAGGGAGCCCGGGGGCCACTCCCACAGGGACAGCCCCCGAACCCGTATCCCCAAGCGCCTGCCGACCAGTCCGTGCACCACCTGTATCCCCCGTACCACCCACACTCTACTCCCTCGCACGCCCGTCCTGTGGAAGCAGCGTCCGGCGTCTTATCCTCCGGGCAGGGACAGGGCTTTCCACCTCTGCTTCCCAGTGCCCCGGGCGCCTCGACTTCTACGGCCCACCAAGGAGGGCGCGACCCTGCCTCGCTCGCGGCTTCCCATTCCAAATTTCCCCTGCCGTTCCCGTCTGCCTCCGCGTCGGTCTCCGGGTCGGCGGCGATGGAAAGAGGGGTCACGGGGCTGGGGTCGGGGCAGGGAGATGCTTTGAACAAGCAGTCGAGACCTGGGGTAGAGGAGACTCTTCAAAGCCACAAGAAATCCCCCAGCCTCTCTTTTCTGGTGGCGGCCGCAGAACGGGAGCTGACCAAACCGCCGTGTCGCGGATGGTGTCCGACTCCCGGTCTTCGTCCCCCCTCCTCTGCCACCACCTTCTCCACCTCGCCGGCCTTCCCCAAGGAGGAGCAAGGAAAGGAAGGGGGGGGGATGGAGGAAAGGCAGCGGGGCCGGATGGAGGCAGAGAGAGGTGGGGAGAAGGGAGAGGGCGCACTAGCGACGCTGGAATCTGGGGCGCCCTCGTCCTCGTTGTATGCGGTCCCACCCCTGGCCGAGAAGGAGTCGAGGACGTTAGCCTTTGCCCCGCGCCCTCCTTTGCCTCCTTCCAAGACAGAGCTCCACGCCGCGCTTGGCTTCCTCCCGCCGGAATTTCG